AACCCATGGCCTTGGTGTCATCAGCACCGCACTCTCCCGAGTGAGCCACAGGCCAGCCCTCTCTTCTCCCTTTAGACTGCTGTCTAGTAAATTCATCTTCAGCTTGGAGTGGTGCCCAGCGTCCTATAGGGCTGTGGTAAGAGTCAGCAGGGAAACCAGGGGATTCCTTTTAGGTGCTACAGCTGCCATCACTTGGGACAAGCCAAATTAACCCATCACATATGAGCCCATCTTTTATGTTGAACAACTTATTATATGACCCTGGAAATGAAAATGAATGATGATTTCTTAAAACTACAGATGTCACCCTTGAGTACTGGAGGTGGTCTCTCTGCCAAAACAATTAGGTAAGTGGTCTTGGATAAGCCAAACATGAGAACTGGGTCAGGTGACATCATGACACCTTCTGATTCCAAGATTGAAACAATTTCTAGGAGCTGGTGGGGATGGAATTCAAAGGATGCACGGTTCTTCTATCCTTGAGAATTATGTCATTTATTTCATATTTTTAGATTTAAATCCCAGTTCCACATTTACTCCTTAAGTGCTCCCCCCACCCCTCTGACGAAGCTTATTGCCTTTCCGGGTAGTGTTCTCTGCCAGCAGGGGCCTAGCTAGGGATCTATAGGAGAAGAGTTTCTCTTCAGTCCTTCCCACCTGTGAGACAAATCTCCATTAAAGTCCCAACAAATGCAACTGTCCCTTGTAGAGCAACCAAGCCTAAGAAGGTGTTGCTTCTGTGCCCGGCTCTGATGCACCACTAGGAGTTCTTGGATTTCCGCTCCTTTCTGGCCCTGGAGGCCATGAGGCTGAAGAAAAGCCCAGGAGCTAGAGTTCGAAGATAAATAGCCAAGGAAGGCAGTAAGTCGGCCAGGATCACATCTTTCTCCTTCCTGCCCACAGCAGCAAGAACATCCTGAGCCACCTCCGCAGGGTTTCGGCCCTGTGCTGTGGTCTTGTCTGTAGCTAAAATAGACAAAAACAAAAGAAACACATGAACTTGGGAGCAGAGGTCTTCTCTGCTGAGGACACGAGCTGATGTGAACTGTCAGGTCAGCGTGCTGCACTCCCACCATGAAGCTCTTCGCAGAGTGTCAGGAAGCAGGTGGTGTGGTGTGCCAACACCCCTGACGATGTTGTACTCTAAGGAAATGAGGAACCATTCTGTGGTTCCACGTGGGTAAGTGGTGGTAAGGGAGATGTGGAAACAGGGTAGACTGGGTACCCCTGTCAGTGCCTGGGACCAAAGCAAGTCCATCTGCCTGGTGGTCTATGGCACGGACAGAGGACAGCCCAGGTGGGGTCTCAAAGAGTGAGCCCCTCACACCACATCTGAAGAGGAGCTTCCTGACCTTGGACATTTTTGCGTCTTGGAATACCCAATGCTTAAGGAATGTACCATCCGATCTGTCTTGGGTGGCTGGGCTTCAGGGCTGCCAGACAGGAGGTGGGCGAAGACTGTGTGACCCCCATATGCACTACAAGCTCACTGAATCAGGAGTAGACACGTCTGAGCTCCGAATGTCATGTATTAACTGGATGAGGAACAGGAAGAAACCCTTTGTTTTAGGTGTTAGAGGAGACAACCGGGAGAGGTTAGGTGGTGTTAGGTTAACAGCAAGGAATGTTTCTTTTC